TCAAGGACCGAGACAGTTGCGTTGTCGTCATCGTAGAGCAGAAGACTTTTGGCAATGTCCAGGATGGGAGGTTTGCGCGTTTTGGGGGGCTCTACATTCTCAGGTACGGATTCGTCGTCGATGGTGTGGACCTCGATGCCTCCTGCTTGCCACGCCAGACGATATCCGACCGGCGCCGTGACGTCCCAGGAGAGGGCCCTGGTGATGTCGTCCAACGTCAGGGGTTCCTTTGCGTGGGCGAGCCAGCAAAGGACTGTGAAGACCGTACCCCGGCTCTCGGAAGGATGTGTCTCAATCGCATTCAATACCCGGTGCCATTCTGCTAGCCGGTCGTTGTCTGGAACTGCTTTCCACGCGTTCTGATCGAGCCCGTCCAGTTTCCTTGCGAGCTCCTTTGGGAACTGGCCAGCGACCCCGCGGATCACGCCAGTCCAGAGCCAGCTGATAGAATATTCCGTATCGGCCTCGGTGACGGCAATGATGTCCCCTCTGCGAAAGGAGAGCTCTCCAATGTGTTTTCCGATGTATTCGGTGGTAGCGCGCATGTAAAACAGAACTGGCTTGGTTGTACTTGTACCATCGTCCCCAGCATCTAACACCCTCGAAAGACTTTCGATGTTGCGCATCTTGCGATCCAGCATGTACCGGGCCATGATAAACATACCATCGCTAGCGCGGACAATATCATCAATGACGACGCCGAGATTCTCCCCTTGGTCGGCCAGCTGCTCCTCAGCAAGGGGATAGGCCTCTGCCAGGTAAGCCATGGTCGCCGTCAGCACATCGTGGGCCGTTGGTTCAATTATAAGGTGCACAGCACCCATCTCGGCCATGGCTGTTGCAATATCGCTGTTCCGCTTCCACATCTCAGGCGCTTCACCGTGCGTGGCGCTTGATACGTACAGATACACGCGATTACCGTGCATCCACAAGAGCTACATCAGTCCTTGTTAGCTACTTCATGGGTTCTTTCCAGGGCTTGCAGTAAGTTGTGAGATGCATCTTACCTTTTGCAGAAGCATTGCTCGCTCGCTGATAGGGAACTCATCCAGTCCGTCGATGCCGACGAAAACGCGCCCAAAAGACTCACACAGCGCCAGTAGAACTAGCATGAACTCGTCGATGCCGGGCTGTTGTTCGCCCTCAGACGCTGCGAGTTGGCTATGCAACTTTGTGAGGAGCGCTGGTAGTGGTCGACCTGCAGCAACCGTCTGCGACGCGAGCTGTCGACACACAGTCGCAACAACCTTGAGAGTTGTCAGGTGGGCAGCATCCGGCCCCCCGCAGTAGACGTAGGCAACCCCATGGTCTTCATTGGCGATGCAATGCAGGAGCTTGTCCACAACGGCGGCCGTAGTGGTCGTGTTGCCAACTCCTGGCAACCCCCGGGCCCAGATGGTGGAGCCATCTAAACGGCCGATAATCCAGTCGTTGAACGTAATTCCTTCGGGGACACGTATTGTCGTCCCTTTTGGCAGCGAGGCAAGGATTTCCTGGTGTCTTCCCTCGGCATCGAGCGACAAGATCCACGCAACTATTGCATCTTCCAGCGATGCCATGGTATAAACGCAACGATGAAGAAGTATGTCTGGTAGATTGACGTGAAGAGGATGCTATGGTATCTGAAGTAGATGCAGGCTGTACTCGGAGAGAAATTTGTTGATGAAGGGTGTCAAAAACTTACGAAGGTCCGGGAGCAATTCCACGGGCAATTCTCACGACAACCAATAGAACGGTTCCACAATCACACCAAAACCAGCACAGCCCCGACAATAGTGCGGCTGAATGGACCAAACTGCACGCACTGATGGCTCCCAAGTTTATGAATGGCTGCAGGGTGCAATTCTCCGATGCTGCGCGCTTTCTGTAACCTCAAAGCCTGCCCCTGAGCAGGGGGTGTCAGGCTGAGAAGTGCCTTGCGAGATCGGGGTGACTGTTAATAAAGTAGGCGTCTGATAGGGGTGCACCCCCATCTTGATCCGTACGCATCCCCTTAAAGATACATTTTTGGCCTACATCCTCAAATATAAGCGTTCCGGTATATTAATAATGCCAGTAGGGCTATTAATAAGGGCTTTACGATTTATTAAACACGTTTTTAAACCTTTATTTACTATCTAAAAATAAAATATAAAAGATCTCGATTTAACGCGTTTCGTATAGTAAATAACGTAACGACCTTAAATTTTTACTTTTCTTTACCTTTATAAGTTTAAAACCCCTTATATATAGTAAATAGGCCTTTAACAAATATATATATAGCTTTTAGGAAAAATATTAGCTGTAAATTAAAGGGTATATGCGTAAAATACGATGGCCGGGGGATGCACCCGTAGCAAAAGGGGGGTGCACCCCTATCTGATGCCATAAAGTATCGCATTCATGTGCATGCTGAGGGAGAGTGGATCGGTATTGGTAGTATTTGTCCCGCTTTCCACAAGCATTGAGAACCGGCTCCTCTCTATCGCTAATCGAAACTGCAACCTGCAATCCGCGTCTCTCACGAACTGGGTACCCAAATCTTCGGTTTGAAGCAACCATGTCCGGATTCGACGTTCTCGCAAGCCAGCTGGGCGTGAAGGTGAACCTTGGCAACATGGGTGATACCGTCTACCCACCAGTGCCGGCGTCGCCTTCACTTTCAGAGGAATCGGATCTCGGGGCCGATTGGGTTCACATCTACACTCCCATCAAGCGCGACGAGATCCGCCTCCTCATTCTCAACCCAGGAAGCGGAGATGAGCCCATCAGCTGCTTTCTTGAGAACTACCCCGTTGCCAAACCGAAGCGCTTTGCTGCGCTGTCCTATGTCTGGGGCATCGACACCCCTGAGACACGACGCCAAATTCTGTTGGATGGCTGCCCAGTGAGCGTCACGGCAAATCTATATGCATTCCTGAGCCAGCATCGCGAAGACGACCTCTGCAGCGTGCTATGGGTGGACGCTGTGTGCATCAATCAGAAGGACCTGGCTGAGCGCGCATCACAGATCCACCTGATGAAGCGTGTGTACGAAAGCGCCGAGGAGATCATCATATGGCTCGGCGAGAGTAATGCAGCAATCGACGCTGCTGTTGACCGGATGCACGACATTTACAACACTTGGTGGACGCCCATCCTCAAACGTACTGGGTCAGCTCACCGCTCGCTCGCCACCATCACGGATTCCGACATTGAACATCTTCTCCGGGGCTCGGTAGCTGATTCCGGGGCAGACGTATGGAGAACCGGGATCCAAGAGATAATGTCGCGCCCGTGGTGGTCCCGCATTTGGGTCTACCAGGAAGCAACGGCACCATGCGCAGCCGGTGCCCGTGTACGCATTGGTCCACACGATATATCGTTCGACACCGTCTTGACGGTGAACCAGATTATGCGCAGCATTGCCTGGCGAGGTCACTCTGACCCGCTCTTCTCGCTCGACGGGAATCGAGCGGGCAACCCGGCAGCGTATATGCAGACGTATGCCGCCCTTCGCAAACGCCACCAGGCCTCTGGCCGAAGCCGCTTCCTGCGCATGCCCGACCTGCTATACGCGCTCAGGAGGTTCGACGCCACGAACCCGCGAGACAAACTCTACGCACTCATCCCAACCAGTCTAGATGGTGCCGAGTTACTTCATGTGGCCTATGACTGGCCAGTGGAGAAGGTGTACACCGACGCTGCGTGGTCTATGATCCGGGCCCACGGTAACCTCGACGTGCTCGGCCATTGCTCGGCACCCTCTCCCGACGACGGGGTCGACATGCCTGCCCTCCCGTCGTGGGTGCCCAACTGGACAGCCAAGTCGACAGCGATCCCCTTTTTCAAGCGAGGTCTCGCATCACATCTACCCAGCGCGCCGAAGGAGTCAGACGCACACGGCGTACACCTTGATGATGCGGGCGTTGAGATTGGAAAATTGTATCACGCATCAGGGGACAGTGTTGCTGAAGTATCCCTCGACACCGACGGCACGACTCTAACCTGCGCCGGATTTGTTTTTGACAGCGTCGCCAACGTCAGCCCCGAGGCTGGCAGGGACATTCTGGGTGTCGACGTGGCCCAATCCTGGGCCGACTGGCTGCAGACAGTATCGGGAGCCAGCAGCATTTCTCAAGCGGACTTGGCCCGTATCCTTGTGGCCGACTGCGACAGAGTAGCCATAGACGTAGGAATACGGCGTCGCGGCCAGACCAACAACATCTCGCCCGCTGACGTCGATAACCTGCACGATCGCCATCGCCGGGGCTACTATATGGACATAACCGGCCCACATCCGGCATCATTCCGGCGGCGTCTTGTTGTGACCAAAAATGGCCACGTGGGCATCGCAGCGGAGCACGTCCGGCCAGGAGACCTAGTCACTATCTTGATGGGCGGCCAGATTCCCATGATTTTGCGCGAGGAGCAGCAACACTACAGATTCATAAGCGAGGCATTCATTCATGGAATCATGGATGGTGAGGCTACCATGAAGGGGAGTGGGGGTGACATGAAGAGGCAATTCTCCATTCGATAGATATCATCTTAGAGGGAGGGGGATGGGTTGCTGCGTTAGTAGTTGGTCTCCCTCTGCTGGGCCAATAGACTGGTAACCACGGCGATATCGGCGACGGGCGGGCTGGGCAGACCCAGGGGGCCATGAAAGATGGGCTGCTTCGACATGCAAAAACCTGATCCAGGTAGAAATCACCACGAACGATCTTGTTGACACATACCTCACCTTGTTCTCTCCATTCATGCTAATGGTATGTTTGAAATCCCTACTTCACAACATAGGTATCGTGCCAATAATGCCAATACATTCCCTAGGTAGCTACCTATCTTCCGTAGACCGGCCTGTCGGTGATCAGCACGGTGCGAGAATCGTTGCACGGCCAACATAGTTGAAACGTGAGTAGGGACAACTGCGGCAGCTTCCAGTGTTTGAATCACGCTTTAGGGTGAAAATCATAAATGATAGTCTCTACGTAACCCAGATGTCACACTACTCAAGGGAAGAAAAAAAGAAAAAGAAATGCGGTTTATGTGGATCGAACACATGACCTTCAGATTGTTTGATGGAGCAAGCTCCTCAAATGGAATGAAGTGGGACTTCAGTCTGACGCTCTCCCAACTGAGCTAAACCCGCTTGCCAATAGAAATCAATAGATTTTTCTGCTTTAAGACTTGCGAATGCACTGTCGTGCTAGTCATCCGATGCAGCGAACGCCAGCCATTCATTCCAGCCTGGAACTTTACAATCAAGAAATATCAGAACCCCGAGGGTTACTACTTTGCGACGAAAAGCCTGCGGGGAATCATCAGCGCGATTCAGTGCAGAGACACTCGGCCTGCCCGCTGTTCGACAGTTTTGGGTGCATTCGACAGCCGTGAAGGAGAATGACCTCACGAACAGGAAGAGGCGGATGGCAGCCGACTAGGGTAGAGACTCTTATCCTCAGTGACACTTACCAGAAGTTTACTTCCGCGCTCGTTGAATCACAACTGGCCGCAACATGGTCCGGATTCATTCAGAATCAAGTGATGCAGAAGGGATAATAGCCCGGCATGGCATCCTTGTCCCGGAGCAAGCTCACCCAGTCGCCCTTTGCGATGCCAAGACCACGCTCCCCCAGGGTACAGGCAGTCACTCTGCTGTTCCTGTGCGCGTTGGCGCTGGTGTCGCGTGTCGCGTGACGTCACACTGTTGATCCAAACCGACCGTCGATCTAAACAGTCGAAAACGTTGGGGTCATGGAGATTTCCAGGTTGGTATTCTTCTCCAATCTCCAGTCTGTCAATCGAGAAGAAACTTGCCAAGAATTTGAAAAGATGACGAGAAACGATGAACATCTCGAGAAGCTCAAAGCAGCCGAAGACTGGAAAGCCCGCAAGATTCTCATTGCGCTGTGCGCCGACGCCGAGATCTCGAACAAGGCCGCCAAGTACTTGGACGATATGAACAGGCGTTCCAACACCCTCGAGACGCTCCATCCGAAGCGGAAACGCTCTCCATCCCCAGAGCTCAGCATTTGCGTCCAGTGTGAAAAGGTTTACAGCAAAGCCGCGAACACCGAAATGCTGTGTCAATATCACAACGGTGAGGCACCCCACGTTCTTCACAATGGGAACACCTACCATTTGCATCGTACATATGGGCTCATCTTGATGTTGGTAACGGAGTCTAGGGGAACTAGAGCCTGACTACGGTTCACGCGTCTGGGCAGATCATGATCAGCGCTGTCACGGTACCATCAACTCGGACTACTGTCGGAAAGAATATCCAGATGGTTTCACTTGGACATGTTGTGACCAGACGGGGACCGGGAATGGTTGTAGACTGAGCCGGCACCAGTCGGATCCTTCCAAGAATAAGAGGCTCGAGCTTGACGAAGAGGCTTCCGAGGTGTCTGCAAGTGAAGAGTTCGAGGAGGACGACGAGACCGAAGAGAGCGACGATGATGGTCAGGAGGAGCAAGACAGGGAGAGAGAGGAAGGACACAGGGTCAAGAGGCGAAAGATGTAGCGGTAAAGATACTTTCTTCCACTCCACTAGAAGGCACGTCTAGGTATATAGATATGTAGCAGACAGTTGGGAGTGGGCATGCGTCTTGGAGATCTCCAAAACTCCGCCAGCTCTCATCCTTTCGGTAAATTCACCCGATGGAACAGCCAGCACACGGAGACCACCAATCGATGGAGGTGCGAAACATCCCGGAGTTTGACCAAGATGTAAGGAACGCTCGATGAAGCTGAAAAAGTAACTGTCAGACCTGGGACTGGTCCTCAGTGCGGATGTTACGCCAACGCCCTTTCTATATGTACCTAGAGTGTGAAGCAATGCGGGCAGGTACCTACCTTACTCATCACCACCTACCACAGAATCCCAGAGCCCATTCCGCGTCTTCGGCTGCGACAACACGAACAAGGAAAGGAAATCAAGCGCACCACGAGACCGCCGCCGGATGGAATTGTGAAGCTGGCAAACAGAATGGTCAGAAAGGAATTCATCTTGCATTTTATGGAGGCCGTTAAAACCTGGCAGGACAGTCCAGGCGGCCCGCAGAGGTTTGAACAGATGAGGACGCTACATAGTTATCGAACACTAATCTCTTCCAGCAATACCTTCCCCGACTCCAGTGCTTCGCCGTTCATCATCCCATAGACATAACACTCTCCAACCAAAACATGGGACAAAGATGACCTCCGGCGCTGCGTGATGAAAGGAGTCGCAGCTCCCGGAAAGATTCGGACTTCAAGTGGGCTATCTGTCAAGTCAGATACAATGTGCCCTGGATCTTTGCCTTCGTGCTTATCCCACACCCTCTTCTCCCGGCCACAGCCGGGCTCCAGAGCGGATGGGCCGAGGCCAAGTCGGCCGGTCTCGGTGAGGAAGAGGCAGCGGTTATTGCAGGCCGTCTGGACCGCTGTTTGAAAAGAACGCTCGCTTCGGGATTCGACACGGCGTTTATCATGCGAATCTGTTGAGTCCGTTTCGCCCCATGGAGAAGACGCCTTTGCCCCTCCATTGTCGTTAACAAACTTGGTGGCTTCCTTGATGAGATCATTATTATCCCACCATATTGCCGCGCACGTACGGGTCCTCTTGAAGCGACGAATTTCGATATCCCTCAGTTCTCGGTCGAGACGGCTGTCGAAATTCTCTGCGCAGCTAAACAGGGATTTGGAAAAGCCTAGAAATGCCTTCTCATGCTCTGCGATGCTGTTGTAACCTAAGCCGCGTCTCTCGATGCCGGCCGTAATCGTTGCCGCAAATTCTCGTCTGGTTGGGTAGAACGGGACATGGGAGACATTACCTATTTTGGTTGACTGGAATAGAGGGGGTTGTGGGGCCGGACACGGCTCTGCAATACCTCGCTGCCCTGCCTTGCGGAAAAACTCCGACAGTCTCAGATGCCGGCCCTCCTCTCTCTTGGCTAAGGATTGGCGAGACAAGAGCTGAGGCCCAGTCGTCGCCGGCATCGGATCCAAGCCAACGGTGTTGACCTCGACCCCGCCGAAGTGCTCCCAGAGCCAATCCATGAAAGTGGGAATGCCTTGGCTGGAACAGTGGCGGCTGTTGTTGCATTGCGGGAGCTGAAAGTATTCCCATTTAAAGACAGGATATACCATGACTATCCGGTCTATGAGGATCGAGGAAATGTTGAGCTCCCCCTCTTCGACACGATAGGGCTTGGCAGCGGTCTCATGAGGTGAGCGTCCAGCATGGAGGCCTCGGACCTTGCAGAGCGGGAGAATGAAAGGCATATCGAACTTGGGGACCCAGCTCGGGATTTCATCGCAGGAGTAGTCGAACCAATTGTCGTGGACAACGTACGACAAAGTCTCGTGGCTGTCTTCCTGCAGCATCTGGCATGCGGCGGCCCGAAAAACGTCGCATTCAGACATGGCGTAATCGGGGACCATGGTGTCTTCCGGACGGAGGAAGGCAAATACCTTGTCCCTGGCGTCAGACGCAAAGAATCCCCGCGTCTGGCTCAGCCTCGAGAGCAGTGTTGCGTCCGGCGCCATCAGGGTCCGGATGTACGTCGCGTTCGATATGCCCCTGTCTGTAATCATCCTCTGTCTGATATCCTCGGAGCTTTGAAGAGCCACACGGGCCGACGTCTCGATCGCCGAGTAGGTCGTCGTGGCTTGGCCGCACATGACCAACGTGTCGGGGTTGGCTTGGATCTCCTGGATGATCCACGTTCTGCAGAAGTAGGGCAGCTCGAAGAACCGGAAAAGAGCGTCCCATTTGTCGAATCCTAATTCCCTGCATGACTCGACATCGGCAGTGCCGCGGTTGGCGCTGAGGAAGTTTATCAAGCCGACTGCCGTCTCGTCATCCGCATCTTCAGGCCCGAGCCAGACCAAAACTCGCACAGCACATTCGTAAATGTGTCTCATGAACTGTACCTGGGTGGACCGTTCGCGGTTGTCATTCTGGTTGATACAAATCGCGTCCGCCCAGAGCGTTTTTGGAGTGCTCGAGGACCTGACGGTCCGAAGCGCACCGAATAAGTTGGACGTAACTCGGAACGGTGCATCGTTGACCAATATCTCGGCATCCCCCCCGCCCTGGCGGCCCCAGACGTATGAGACAGCTTCGTAAGCATGATCTCCATCACACTCTGCGGCGAACAGACGACAGCAGATTCGATCGTCACCTTTTCCCGGAAGTACCTCGACGAGTCGAATGTACTTGGCACTTGAGGTTGGAAGAGGGTCGTATGCGAATGGTTCAGTCTCCCGAGACTTCTGGTCGGGCCACATTTGGTCATCCGGCACCCGAACGGACGACACTTCCCGGCACGCCGGTTGCGGGAATGACTGCATTGTGAGCTTCTCCTGGGACGGAGCATCATTCGGTTCTGCCATCCTAATGCATACGTGGCCGATGTTTTCGAAAAAGAAATAGAATGGGAGCGTACGAGGATTGAATCGCAGAAATAATCCACAAGCGCAATAACCGGAAATCTAACAATTTCGGTCAATTGGTATACTGAAGATGATTCTCAACGTCCAGGCGGGCGATGAAGCTGTTAAATTTGAATCGGAAACCCAAGACTCACTTGACCCTCAGCCGTGTGACAAGCGACTATCTTGAGGAATCTACGCCAGCTGTAAAAGGAATAACCTTCGCCCACTGAAAGCTAGCTCGCAAGCATTTGGGAATTTGTTCCCAGTTATGAGTCGTTTCGGAAGGCTATGTGGGGTAATGTATGGTGATAATTCGAGGTGGTGTGGTGTGGTGTGGGGTGATCAACTCATGGCCAAGGGTCTTGTTTCAGCGTACACGCCATAGCTGAGCAAGCTACGCTAGCCACGGTGGGAAGTCCATATGACAACCTCGTGTAAATTACTGGGCAAGCTGGGTAAACTCTTCCGGTCCGGGACCGAAGCTGAGAATAGTAGCGACTATGCTCAGGAAGGACTGCACATTGGGGTTCGCAGACCGAGACTGTGAGAGACGAAGTCATCATCTCAAGACGACCATCAAGGTGTGTCACAAATCAGTCCTCGGAAGGGCAGAGGAAATGCTGTTTCAGTGGTTCAAGAGACCATAGGTTTTCATCAATAATGATAAACGAATTAAATAGACGGGCATTTTGTTGTAGTTTCCAGGGGTAGATTCTAGAAGAGGCA